GGATTGGAAAAGATGTTCGGAAATTAGGCTATTTGTGGGATACTTCATGGTAACGATAAATGAGTGAATTATTATAGTACTAAAAGTCAGAATATGTTCGTTAGCGCGAATTCTGATTTTTAGAGGAATACTAAGTAATAAATCACTATGTTCATTTGTAGAATTGTTTTAAGGAAAGATAAAGGTAAAGTTCAACTTTATTAGCAAGTGTACAAATGTGATACCACAAAGAAAAACTGCAACACGTATTTTGTGCTATACACCTTTGCAGAGGGAACCTCGTTGTAGTGGGAGGGTTGCAAGACAACTCTATTCGTGATAATAAGAGAGTCGTTGGACTCAGTCTGTATTAATCACAAGATCATGGAATTCATGTTTTTGAGAAAGTCTCGGACTTAGTCTCTAGTAAACTTGAATCAATCCCTAGTTATACAATGAGGAGATCCAAGACAATGATGCATAAACTTAGCAAAGTTTTTTAATGATTTCTGATTTAGGGTCATGGACTCTTATCAGATCTGGGTTCTTATAGAATTACCAAGTAGAAAACTTGCTATTGGACGAAATCTATAAGTGAAGACTTTAGTACACGGCTTGTTGTGAAATAGCAGACTCAGAAAGAAAGGGATCTATTATGAGTTAGTTTTGGGTAAAATACTTTTTCCCATCCGAACTATCACGGTTTTGGCGCATCACCATATAAACTATTTTTTGGTACAAACCACCATATGAACTATACGGGTTTGTCAATGTGCCCCCTAAACCAGATATAAAAGCGGTTTTGACTGAAAAAGTTGTTTGGTCACCATATGTGCCCCTTAAATACTTTTACAAACCACCATATGAACTATCATGGGTTTGTCAATGTGCCCTCTAAACCACTTTTATATCCGGTTTAGGGGGAATATTGACAAACCCGTATAGTTCATATGGTGGTTTGTAAAAAAAAAATAGTTTATATGGTGATGCGCCAAAACCGTGATAGTTCGGATGGGAAAAAGTATTTTACCCGTTAGTTTTTCACCAGTAGCCGTGTTTAAGTCTGTACATAGAAAGGCTTGTTGTGAAATGGTGAACTCAGAAAGAACGGGATCTATTATGAGTTAATTATTTCACTGGTTGCCGAATTCAAAGCAGATGCCATTCATATGAGTTATGAGTTAGGAAAAGTGGTTGTCAAGACATTTTCCTTAACCGGAAGTCTTGTTGGAATATCCACGAA